CATAGTAAATAACTTGGTGGCCGACGATCGTATCGGGAAGATCGGCGATACGCTCTGCTGCTGCTGCCCTGCCCTGTTCCTATTTTGGGCGGTTAGCCCTACACGGTTGTACTGATTAAATAATAATGTTGTAACTGTTGAAAATGCCCTATTTTCATTTATTTTTTTATATTACTAGGTAGGCCTAACAATTGGGTATTTTTTTTTAAATGATGATAGGCTCTAGGCTAGGTCCAATGTGTAGGCTAGCCAGCCTTTGTTGAAAGGGCACTTCATGAAAAGGGGGGTTCGTTCGCACCCAACGAACCCCCCCCCCCCCCGGCTACGGGCTTGCTGAGTTACCTTGAATATCATATACCACTTATAAAAAATGATAGAAAAAAAACAGATATTAATGCCAGGATAACCCCTGATAAATGCCAAGATAAAACAAACTATACAAAATTAGGAAGGCCAATAAAATCTGGAATTGAATTAACATTTTTACTAAGCTATTTACTGGCTACTAACACTAAATCGATCAGGAAACTAATCACATAGCATATATAATTCAGATAGATTATTTAAATAAAAATTCCCGTTTTTTTAAGTAATCCTACTTGCAATGTTTGCTGGCACGTAATAGGTAAATTATAATGAATCTATAATAATGGTCTCTAAAACCTAAGGTTACTGAGGGGAAAATTTAAGTAGAAATTTGTAAAGATTCTAGTACTGCACTGCCTGTACCTACGCTACTGCTAGTCACACCATTACCGAAACGATTAGGCCTCTCAAGTAGCAGAAAATTTACATCGACATCTTGCGCTTCAATGTATCCTTATGTAATGATTTATTCATCTACAGTTGAGGATTATATAACGAGGATGACATTCAAAGAAAGATTATATTTTGCTATTTAGCATTAGCATATAGAAAAGAAAGCAGGCTATAAGGGTCATGCCATGTTTGACCTGCCGTGCTGGATAGTTTGGCTTTCTTTTGATCTCATCATTATGCGATAATTGCCCTTTAACCCAAAAGGCATTGACAAATGTCATCAATCATTCTGTAATTGCAATGCAGAATGCAATAAATATTTAATCAAATAATGTTTACATATATTTACATTTTCAAGCAGTATACAATTACACGAACCACGGTTATACCATGCAAGGAAGTATAAGCTATAGTATCCTTTTTTGAATAAGAACCAGTAAAATTTTGCCAACAGATCAGTGAATTCTTATTTTTTTATCATTTTTTTTTGCGATTTTCGGCTCAAAAAGTTCTTATTTTGGCCTTCCTTTTGCACACTTTTCAAACAGAAAAATTAATATTGTTTAGCAGAATTTTACTCTACTGTATTATAGAGGATTACCATGGAGGAAAGATTGTCACACCTACTGCAAATAAGGTACAGATAAGAGTTGTTGGTGTTTCTATTTTTTTAAATAAAAACCTCGTTTGAAATTTTACCTCAGACTTAATTTGTTCTTATTTTCAGCCTCATTGTTCTTATGTGTTATCAAAAAATTGTACTGGAAATTTAGAAACAACGCCCAAATGAACAAAAACAATTCTTCGGGGAAAAAAATTGATAGACAGAGCAGGGAGGTGGGTAGAGACATGATGTGTGCTTTATAACGCCAATTTCCCCGACAAGCACAGTCTCCACATTGCTATGCTTAGACTACTTACATCATGGCGGTATAAACATACATTTTTATAGGCCAAGGCCTACACCGCCATGCTTAGATCAAGAAGTGGTAGATTTACAGCAGGAAGGTGAAAAGTGCAGATATTCTCCCACGCATGTTTGCAAGGATATAAACATTATTTTAACACGAACCAAGGAATCCACAATTAAATAAGCACGCAACAGATCTCCGTTCACCGACGATCCGCTCCGACATTCAGCCGATTTGCCTACCGATTTCCAGACGATCCTCTTGGTGCCTTAAAGTCAGGCTCCGGAGGAAAAACATTTTTTGATACGTTGTAGAACTGATTTTTCTGAGACAGAAAATAGTTGTTTGACGAAAAACTGAGCAACGTTGAATGACATACAGATTTTTTTAATATTTAAAAACTGGGGGAAAAAGGTGTAAAAATGGGCTGTTACGCCCCCTTTCTCCCAGTTTTTAAATATTCAAAAATCTGTATCTCGTTAACCGTTCCCCAGGTCCCAGCTCAAAGCTAATTAACATCATCAATAATTATTGCCTGATTTCCCAAAAGAAAACTATTTGATTTTCCAATTACTATGCGTGACCTCAGTAACTATACCGGAATTTAGGGTGTGTTTCTACTGATAGACACAAAATAATCGATTTTTTAAAACCGTATTTTTAATGAGTACCAGACAGCCTGCTGGCGTTGCAACTGCATTTTTTATTTCTCGAAAATCGGTTTTCGTGACGGAAATTACGTCACCATTTTGTTTATACAACACGTTGTTTTCCTAACTGTATAGGATAGTATCTTTCTCATTCCTGTCATGATGAAAAGGAGTAAGATACCTGTCTCTTATACACATCTAGATGTGGGGCGAGAAGGCAAATGTTTTCGGCTGTGCTCATCGGCACAATTATGAACGACGACCAAACGAGGACAACGGTAAGCCCAAAAGAGCAGAGAGTCATAGGCCCAATATCCCTACTGATTATTTCTTTCCAGTAGAAACAGGCCCTTAGAAATGGATAAATTATATTGTAATTAGATCAAGGTCTTTAGATGATATTACGATGTGATGTGCACTAAATAATCAGTATGCCCTAAAAAAATATGAAAAAACAGCATTAGATGGGAATCGAATCCACGACTTCCAGATAACTAACAGAGAAATGACGCATAAATAACGGTCATATACTAGGCCTCTACAATTTGAAGAAGGCCATTTGACATTCATTCAGTTGAACTAATGTAATTACATACTGCTTAATGCGGTGTTTGAGTAATAAGGCCTCCTAATTATAAAATAGCAACAATTTTTTTGTGTGTGTGTGTTAGAAAATCAGGTATAATGTTACAACCAATATTGATGCGAGGCGGCCACAATATTTATTGAAATTATAAGCCATGAAATACTCACACTATAGCCAGAGCCACTTTTCAACAGTTGCAAGCTGGGGTAACCAACGAACCATTCTGCAACGCTTATTCTCTACTACGTAATTTTAATAAACTTTAGGGCAGGCCTAGGTATCGACTTTGTATGATTTTATAGATAACGAAAAAGGGGGAAAAGAATATGGTGAAAAGAATTAATTAAAGATAATAGGCCTATATATGAATATATATATATATATATCATTATATATATACACGTATATATATACACGTATACATATATATACATGTATATGTATATATATATATACACATATAATATATGTATACATACAGTATATATTATATATACATAATATATATATAAACGATTTATCTATTATATTTTCAAGACAATAACAACATCCTCCCACCAACCTAAACAAGCATGGCATTGCAGTATCCTTATCCATCTTTCCACATCCGGAAATAGATGACTGAATTTTTTACTCTTTAACGATTGCGATAAAACAAAATAGTGATGAATAATTATATAGCCTACAGTATATTACACTGACTACTGAACTAGGTATACCAGGGAAGTATAAAGGTTACACACACCTCTACTCACATGATCAATTATTGAAAATGTACAGAATCATAATAAGTACTCCATAGCCGTCAGTCGTTGGCTTCTTTATGTCGTCATAAGTAGCATCGCCGTTGACAGCTGAAGCTAAAATGAAAATGGCCTATAAGGATTACAGTACTGTACATGTACTGCTACACAACGCCACGCATTCGAAGATGATGATAAGTATGGGAGGCAATCGCCGCAAAAAGTAAGTGAAACGTAAATTAAAACGTACATTTAAAAAGCAACAGCGTCAGCCAACTTCCACAAATTAAAGTCACAGTTTCTTTTTACAAAACGTCAACGTACTGTCACTATTGAACAAGTTTTACTTTTTTTAAGGGAGCAGCTTAGCTCAGTCGGCCAAATCACTCATATTTATTTTTGTCCTAACATGATGTTGAAAAGCTTTTAATTTTGTCGTTTTCAACATGAGGTAGTTCAACTTTTCTAAGCACTTTTGGTTAATTCTGCTTGGTAGTGCGCTGAATCTTGTTCCCAATTAAATTCCATCAACTCATGCTCTTCTTCAACTACGCACGCAAATTTAAAAGAGTGTGTGTGATAAGTTGCTTTTAATCGGATTTGAGTTACCATCAGCAGATATAGCAGAAAGTTCCGGGTTCGAATCCCGATTGGGGAAACCTTTATTATGTGAATCTCTTAGATCCCGTTTCGTCGTTTAAGATGCTTGTAAGAAGAGGGCGTATCAATTTGATCTCGGTTTCACGTTTGTTTGCGTCGAATACTAGTGTTGTATACGCACACCGTATAGAGTGTGAAATTAGTTGCCTCCAATCGGATTCAAACTTCCAACGAAAACTAGCACCAGTGGCCGGTTAAGACTGATAGACAGTAGAAATACCTCGGATTCAATTCCCGTTTAGGAAGATTTTTGTGATATTTTCACACTGGCAGATTCCTCTTCTTTACTGTTTACAATTTATGTAGGCCTATATTCGAATTATAAAGCATTACCACAAGACTGCTTAGAGGTTAACCCCATAGTTATAATACTGTAGATAATCTTTATGATTGCGATTGCAGAACTTATGTACACAAACTGATAGTGTACGAGCGCTACAGTAGCTCTAACGACTCAACTGCTATAGCCTACAATCGAAATTATTATCCCGGAAGAACGATGCAGCCGTTGTCAGAGGTCAGTGTACTAAATCCATTGTTTTCCAAACTAATAACTACAAAAAAATATGACAATTAAAACAGGTAGAACGTAAAGTAGTAGACCATTGGCTGTTAACTCTTAACGGCGTCTCTCAGTTTTTCGCCTACCTTTGTATTACGACATTCCTCCAGCAGCTCCACTTTAAGGTAACGAAGCCATATTTATTAGGTTATTCGTAGGCCTACCCTGTTTTTTTTCTCCAAAGAAGTACAATCAGGTCTTCAATGGTAGGATCATGTCTGAACGATACCTTCTAATGGTCAGGCCCCTTCTTTGAAACACAAGGTAAGTGTAGATATAGTTTACTACTAAGTTGTTCTAATCCGCATGTGTGAGATGGTGGCTTATAGAGGTAAATATGGCAAGCCCAATTGTCAATTACTAGTGATCTAAGCAAACTACTTAGCCTACACCACACTGACATGTTCTATGCAAATTTAGTAAACGGTGATACTGAGTCTAGGTCGCGCTGCTTAAGCCTACTTGTTAAAACAGTAATAAGTACTACTACTAATACTGCGGTACTACTACTACTACTGCTACTGCTAAACTACTAGTATTTCTAGCCTCTGTGTTGGTGTTGCAACAAATGCCCATAAGAAGTAGCCATAGGTTTGCATTATTCTCAAGAATAATTTTCAATTCATTTATGGAGTTTAAAAAAAACAGGGCCGGCGGAACGTTTTTCAAAGTGGGGGGGGGGGCACTTATAAGCTTACGCCACTGTTTATAAGATGAATCATGCAGATCTGGAATCAAATCTAGGTGGTAGGGTCAACATTCCTCCCCAGGGAACATTTCGATTTCTAGATGGCGGGAAATGAGCTTTCCCGACTTCTGAGGTGTCTTTAAATTACTTTTATGTTCTTCAAAATTCAAGGTTTTCCCATCTTGAAAACGGTCAGGTAATTTTTTCCCATTGTTATTACAGTAAATAGGGCTTATGTGTGTATACATACATAACAATTAAAAAAATGAGTAGTTGCATACGAATTTTCCATGAATCGATGAATCCCAAGAAGAAAGGGTGGTCCGGGGGTTTTCCCCAGGAAAATTTTGATTCCTAGATGGCGGGAATTGAGCTTTCCCGACATTTGAAGTATGTTTTAATGAATTTTATGTTCTTCAAAATTCTAATTTTCTAATAGCAAAAAAAAAAAAAAAAAAAAAAAAAAAAAAAAAAAAAAATCAGCTCACGGGTCCTGAAAAGGTAGGTATAGAATTCTTTTCTTTTTCCCCTTTTTTTGTTTGCCCAAGGGAGGGGTCAGGACCCATGACCCCCTCCCCCAGATCCGTCAATGTGCATTGCGAGAAAATGTAACTCGGTCGGGTACTGGATAAACATTCTCTTTCCCATCCTTCTTCTTCCCTCCTCCTTTTTTTTGCATTTCCGATCATACAAAATTCTCCAGACATTATATATTTTTCGCCAAAAAGTGGGGGGGGGGGCGCCCCCCGGCCACCCCGATTCCGCTGGCCATGAAAAATGACGCGGTGCATGGAATGAGTTAATGCGGGACAGAACCTGTCCCTCTGCTAAATATTGCCATTATGAGTCCTTAAAAAATGGACGAACATTATAAGTTTTTTTCTCATTTCAGTAACTGATAGGCATAGGCCTATCAAAATGGCGTTCCCTCGATGTCCTACAAACGTTAAAAAGAATCTTCCGATGCTGCTTGCCATACCCCTTGTGCACTTCCTAACCTTCGGACAAACTGATCCTTTCTTCGGCGTTTTCTTGGTGGATTTCAAAGAGAAGCTTGGCTGCAGTTCAGCAGCAATTGGTATGGCCCACAGCGTCTTTCTTGGATTCAAATATCTTCTCGGTTAGTATACACTTTTGAAAAAAAACTCATCCATGATATCTCACATACAGTAAACTTTAGTATCCATCCCGTAATATCCCTCTAATCATAATGAAAATCTTTCCCCTATTTTGGACAAAAATTCAGGTATGACCTACATCTTATGCATGAACGCACTAACCGCAGAAAACTCAAAATTCGTATCTATTGGCCTTAAGCGCGTGACGTCATTCATAGAGAGTGTAAAAACAGTTCTGAATACAAAATTTTAAAGAAAAAATTATTAATGGTTATTTAAGCAACTAGCATAGGAGTTACATGCCAAGAAGGCTTAATTTATGAGCTACTTGACCGCTCACCCCGAAGTTTAGCGACCAGTTGTTGCAGAGTTATGGTAAAAAGAAGCAGGAAGTATACACCAAAAAACACTATAATTTTAACCTTTTTCCTATGCAAAAGCATAAGAGGTAGTCAACTTTGAAAGAAAAATAATCACCCAATTTTGCATTATTGTAAGAATATATAGATGATTATAAAGCTTAAAACATCTAGTTTTATAATCCGATCGCCCCAGGTTGCCAAATGAAACCATTCAAATTATATTGCCGATTTTGTGCAAACGTGTCCCGTTTTGACTCATTTACTGCGTTAAGATGTGCAGTGAACCGTTCAATGAGCAGATGTCTTCAAGTTTTCATTGTAAAGACGCCTCCAATTAAAAACCACCTTTCTGCGGCCCCAAATTAATGAGCGTCTATCTTTAGTTTTTAAAACATTTTTTTCTAAATAAAGACCAAGGCTGCTAAAAACCATGAAAACCCCGATCCCAAACCGTAGTCTTCAAGTGGAGGGAACCTGTATTACTATTCAAACAGTAAGAATTCCTCGAGGGGCGTTTTGCTGCTCGTCCGGTGATACAAACTATCATGTGCATACAAAACGAACGTGGAACCTCCTCCGCACTCTGGGGAACATTCGGTGAAGCTAAATCAGCACGTAACTATCTAAATCATGTGATCAACACAGAATTTAGGCCTAACCAATGTCTATATGTATACATTCACACCAGGGAACTGTTCCCTGATTCACACTATTAAATATCTTTCAATTCCTTAAAGGTCCCCTACCAGTGATTCTGACAAACAGATTTGGAAGCCGGTTAATTATCATTCTGGGATGTACTATGATGTCGAGTGGTCTCATGTTGACGTCACATGCGTCCAAACTCTGGCACGTATACATTTCACATTCACTTATTACGGGTAAGTGCGTAAAGTAGACATGTATTGAATTACAGTATAAGGAAATCGAGTTAGTTATGCATCGTTAGAACTTTAGCAACACGATTAATGATAATGTCGCCGTGACAAATTTGAGGGTTTCTCAGTTACCGATGGTGACTCCAATGAGATGGAGGTAGTACACCCGACTGGAGCTAGAAGGAAAACAAAGCTAGTCGTGTTTAAACAAACCAATTTAATTACGGTATAAGTTTCTTTAGTGTTTTCTAGTACCAAATTAGCGTTTTGAAATTAGGAATAGAACTATATCCTTTACCTACTTAAAATAATTGTATTATTTGCAGTGATGGCACCAGGATCTTCCCGACGGATGGGCGAAAGGTCCCGACGGGGGGGGGGGGCTTGGCGAGTGAAGCGAGCCACACATGGCTGGGGCCAGGGGGAGCACAGGGCCCGGTGGGGGTCCAAGGGGCTTCGCACCCCACCCCGGAAGCCACGGATATATGACAAATTATGGCGAATTTTTATTACTTATTTGATAGGTATCAAGCTACTATAATATGACTTCATGTATGTTTTCAAATGTCGAAATCAGCTTCCAGAACTAAAAAACATTTTGAATAAAACAAGAAACAAAGAGTATACAATGTAATCATCTGATGTATTTTCAAATCCTCATTCTTCAAAGTGGAATTCTACATTTTGGAAATTTTGCATGAAATTTGTCAACCACGCTGCCAAGGTCGAGGTTGCTTCCTCTATCACGAATTATTACAAGCATCATGAGGCTATCCAAACGAGCATTTGTCATAACAGGACGCAAATCATTTTTAATTAGTCTCATGGAACTATTATAATTATTATAATTATTATTATTATTATCATTATTCTTATTATTCTTATTATTATTATTATTATTATTATTATTATTGTGATGGAAAGTTAACACAAATAGTTCAATGAAAACAATATCGTGGCTAAACGAATACGGTATTACATATAAATATTATTTTTTAAATTTGTTTATTCCCTGACAAAATTTACTCGTCTTCCCCGACCGGGGGGGGGGGGCTAAGCTTCAACGACAAGGTGAGGGGGGTTTTATTCCCCCAGCTCCCTCTGGCGCCACCACTGATTATAAGGCATATTACTATACTCTATCATTAAATGATTGAATATACATTACTGATGGTAAGTAAGGGAATCTTTTAACAATGTTTTATTGAAATTATAATTACATTATTTGTACCAGGGAAGGGACCAGTTTGTACGAAACGAAACAATCAATGAAAGCATGCCATATATTTCTTCTTCCAGGGTGTGGTTCGTGCTTGGTATTCCAAAGCGTTACTTACGTCATCGGTCACAGATTTGATAAATCTGCGTCGTTATACTTTGCACTAATGTACGCCGGGTCATCAACTGGATTTTTCCTCACCCCTCTGTTTTGCTCCGCAGTCAGAAAATGGTTTGGTTGGCAAGGTACTATATTGATTCTAGGATCAATTGCAATGAATTCGATACCAATAGCGATGATAGCATACAAAGTTAGGAGGGTCAAGACTACACAAAAATATACTTCGGAGACAGGCGTAGATACGCTAAACGATTTGGTGCCGTCACTTAGATCCCAAACGGAGGATGGCGTGGATAGCCAGCCGGAGAAAATACATACTTTAAGCTTGTTTATTAAGTTCCCGCGACTTATGATTATGATTATCGTGCGACTACTAGCAGAGTTTGGTTTTTCTGGCTTTTTTGTACATTTTAATGCCAGCATTATTTATAAAGGTTTTCTAGATGAAGACGCGGCTGTGGTCTTCTTCGCGTTTGGCATCGGCAGCTTTGTTGGTCGACTGGGCTCTCCTCTTCCTGGATATCTCGGAATTATCTCCAACTATAAACTATTTACAATTGCTTTATTTGTAGCTGGTATTGCTATGTTCTCGTTCAACGTATTAATGACATTAACTAGTCTTGTTCTATCTGCATTAGCGATTGGCTTATTTATTGGCCTATATTCAACATTGTTTCCAGTTGTTATGAGGAGTTGTGTTTCAATGGATCGATTTAAAGATGCCTATAGTGTCGTCGGAATACCGGCCGCGTTCGCTTGTATATTTGGAGGCTATGCTATGGGTAAGTTACGGTTGCAGCGGCAGTTATCCTTTTTAATTCAATCTCTACTTTTTAAATAACTTTTTTTTTCAAGAACATGTACTCACAATGTGTGAAGAATTAGAGGCTTTATTGGATTCGGAATTCGCAACAAAGCCTCAATGGCCTAGTTGGTTAAGAGGCGTCTAGACAGCAGAAGGTCCCGGTTCAAATCACGGTTGGGGACACTCATTTTGTCACACTCACAGATTCCTTTTCTTTTATGTTTAAAATATATTTTCATGCCCAAGACGAGTTAGAATTTATCTCTATTAGCCCTGTCTCTTATACACATCTAGATGTGTATAAGAGACAGGAAAACAATATCGTGGCTAAACGAAATCTAGATGTGTATAAGAGACAGTATATATATATTACAATGTTAATACTTTTAATGTATTTTTTACAGGGGTAGTATACGATATCAGTGGTTCTTACAATGTGTCGTTATTCATAGCTGGCAGTTGCTTTCTACTTAGTGGTAGCCTGATGCTGATGACGGATTTCTTTTCAAAGCTGAAACGAAAATTGTTTTTTAACGAGATCACTGGACTTGACACAGCGGTTCTATAAGGTTAAAGTAATAATTGAAAACTCAGGGCACATCTGATTATAAGGTTAATATATCTTTTAATGTCTGATGGGTGAGCAAGGAATACAACAGGCCCGTGGACAGGGGTGCACAGATGCGGGCACACCTTTCCAATTCTCAAAATGCCCACTTTTTAAAACCTATTATTTAACTGAAATCGTTCCCAATTATCGCGAAATGATATATGCGTTGTATTTCATTTTTCAGCTCTTCTAATCGTTGAATTTTAAGTTGGTACGAAATTTGTTGGAAATCAGCTCCGGTAATTGTAGATTGATCCATATGAACAAAAAGCATAGTTATGTAGGCCTACAGATACAGTGGACATAAAACCTTGATTCTTCTGGTCCCTAACAACACTCAAATGAATGGAAACCAAAATAGAATTTTCACGAATTATGGGTTTCAGAAATCCATTAAATAAGGCCCCCACCAGGGATATGCTGGACCCCGCACCCGAATTGCCTACAGTTCTCAAATTTATTAAAATAAAAATGCAAACCTTCCTTTATTTGAAACCATTGACTTATTAACGTGTCACGTGTTGGATACAATGGAATTAACTTTTGTCTGATGTGTCTAAATATAGCTAACATTTGAAAACTAAACTACCATCGAGACATAAACAGAATCTATCATCATTTGTCGCTTCAATATCTCATTTGCGCGACCTTCTTCTACACTAAGGACATGATTAAATAAACAAAATTTATTTTAACAAAGGGTACTGTAATAAATAGCCATTCAAAGTAGGCCCTAGGTCAGTGTCCATTAGTATGTATGAAACTCAAAGTCCGCTTGTTAAAAATGTTAAATCTATGATTCCAGAGAATACGTTCTCAATCTATTTTTACAATTGTGTAAGAGTGCATAGAATCTGCAATAGATATAATATAAGCAACATGGGCCGACCGAGCCAGGCGCTGGGGTCCAGGGGGTAGCGAAGGGAACCCGGTGGGGGTGTGGCGTGAATCCCCTAGTCGCTCCGGTGTTTGTAGCCTTTTTTGATGTATTTTATTGTCTTTTTTGGCACAATTGAGTTCTGAAATTTGTATCGTGATTTGACAAAATAAGCGTAATATTGTAATTAAGTAATACTTTGTTCGTCTGTAACCTAATTTCTTGTTACACATTGTTTAATGTTTATATTATATTATATAAAACAATTTATTAAATAAAGTTTAAAACTTTAAATTAAAAAAAGACCAAAAAAATGTTTGTACCCTTTTTCTAATTATTACTGTTGCATGTGTTATTTGTATTATTGACAAAATTACACAGGATTATGAAAATATAAAAAAAAAAAATAATAATTTTGGCGTCTTTTGGTGTATTTTTAAGATCATGATAACATTTAAAACGCATTAATTCACATTAGGCTGTTGCTTCGACTATAGGCCTACATTTCCCCACTACTGTATGCTATGTTCTGTACTTTATTGAAGAATGCTATTTAATGATTTTTTTTTGCTCAGACAGAGTTTGAGGCAAACGTCAATGAAATTTGATAATTCCAACGATCTACCACTTTTTCCATATTTTTCTCAAGTTTTTAAATATTCAAAAACCTATTCCTCATTAACCACTTTTCATCTCATTAATCAAGATTTTTGTCAAAGTTTAAGAAAAATAATAGAGAGTTTTCGATGCACGACGTTAACCTTAACTTTAACGTTAGTACCCAACATGCAGCGCGATGGCTCCGCCTCTTTTGTAAACAAATCCGCATGCGCAAACCCGTAACTAACGTACGTCGAGCACGTAAAATCCTGAAATTAACGTACTCCGCAACGAATAAATTATGACGTCATCCGTTAAGGTTAACGTCGTGCATCGAAAACTCCCTAATAAGAGCATGATAACTTTTCTAGTGTCTATTGCACATTTTCTCTTCTTTTTACCATCGTACTGGCACACACATTTTATGCAGTTCGCCCAATAGTGCGAATCATGATTTTTGCTCACAATCATAAGCATGCACAGTAAAGAACTTCGTAATTATTGAACTGCCCATGCGTGTAATGAAAAAAAAATCGCATTTTGGTCGAATTCGCCTAGTCTCTAGTGGAAAGAAACGAGGCCGTACGAGTACGAGGGCACATAAGCGCCGGCACGTAAACAATAAGGACGGAAAAGAATACACTGTATTTATTTTGAATTACTGTAGTGTTTATTCACATTCGGGATAAAATTATTAGTTTTTATTTCGTTTTACAAAGTAGGCATATCAGGTTTATGTGTGTACTTTTGTTAAACTAATCGAGTTTGACTTGCTGCCTTACAAATTTTCAATTGTAGGCAGGCCTAAACCAGCGGAAAATTTCGACCTGGCCTCAGGTCCTCCTCAGCCTATATATAAAATCAACTTGGAAGTTCCATAGGTTAGGTGAGAGGAAATATAATAAAACTTAAGTAAGTATTTATTTGGAAATTACACCTTTATATCGGTGGAAAACACAAAGGTGGTGCATCTACAATGTACATCTTAAAAAGAACAAACAAAATTAAAAACAGAGAATTAAACAATTAACTTAACAAAATACATAAAGGTCTACACTAACAAATTGAAATTGGCAATTAAAAAGTACTACTCCAGACAAAGAAAGACCGACCAGGTGACTATAGAGCAGAATTTATAATATTTATATATTCATTTATTTGTTTCTTTTTACTACAATGTTAGGCCTGTAGTATACTGTATTTAGCAAATTTTATTTAAATCAGAGGTTTGTAGGTACAGTATTTGAAATAGATACCATGAGAAATGGATGAATGAGCTATCTGGGAAGTCACAAGGAATATGCCAATCCAGCTCTCTTTGTATATGAAGCGACATATGAACAGGTAAATTAAATTAAACAAGTAAATTATAAACAAAGAATTATTAAGCTATTAACTAAATAAATGAAATACATATACCCTTCTTACACATTTTAACAGGCAACTCTACATAAAAAAGAGGACCACCAATCAGGTGTCAATAAAGTGCAGTTTAGTTTTTGCAACACTACTGTACCATGGACCTATTAATTGTACTAAGCAATTCTTATTTAAAGCATTAAGGAAGTAGCCATGAATATGGCAAACCAGCTCTCTCTCTCTCTGTGTATGGGGCATTATTTCCAAACCTAAAACAGTATTTCATAAAAAATATAAAAATAAGCAAGTTAAAGAATGAAATTGAAACAAAATCAGAATCTAAAAATTTACTTTACACACGGTAGTACAACTACCGGACAATTAAATAGGTTCATTTAACACAGCATTACGTAAGGCCCATAATATACATAACACATTGTTTTTCATTATAACATGTTTCAACATTTGGACGTTTTAAGGCATAATACTCTGAAATCAACGCATTTTTTTTTTAATGGATTTATTTATGCATTCATTTAGATAAGTACCAAGGACTCAAAAACTGGGCTTTTGAGTTCAGGTGCGATCCATGGACCGAGGGTATACAGCTGAGTTCGAATATCTTCTCCAACCCTAACCCATTGTATAAGATATTCGACCTCAGCACGACAAACCCGCGGTCCCGGTTGAATTGCACCTGATCTGCCGGGATTTGAGAAAGAGTGAAAGAAATATTCGTATTTGTGAAGTAAACTAGAGGGTACATTAGTTGTTAAATTTTCAGGTGTGGTCCCAGCTAGCAAAGCGACGTTGGCCCAACGTTGGTAAACGTTGGCAAGCGTCGGGGTCGGATATCTGACGTTGGTACGACGTTGGTGTTTGGTTGCAAAATTTGGTCGGAGAGGTAACGTCAAACCAACATTGGAATTTCACGTTGGCCCAACGTATGAATATATTTTCCAACGTTGGTAAGCCGTCGTAAATATTCAGTCTGACTACGGACGTTGGTACAACGTCACGATTTGTTACTGGCCCGACGTCGGCAATCTACTAAAAATATGGTTGGGTACTAACCGTTGGCCCAACGTTGGCTAGAGGTTGTAAATATTAGATGTGATTGTAGACGTTGTCTCAACGTCACAGTACGTTGTTGGCCCGACGTCGGTAAATGTTTGAAATGGTGGTTTTAGACAGTGCCCATCAATGGAAGGATTTTAATACTTAGGAATGGAAGTTAGCGAAGTCCTTGGCTTGCTTAACCGTTTTTCTTCGATCGTCGCTTCCAACCGTCTAGGCGCGTCTAGCCTAAAAATGGCCTACATCAGGTCGAGATCCATGAAAAGTCGTATATAAAGATGTGTGTTACCCACATCTTTATACTTGCACAAGTAATTAAAATTGTTTATTGAGCAGATTAATCACACTGATAAACAATTGTACTACATTCGGCTGATGCACGGTCATTTCAGCAGCCATGGTTACACATAAAAAGTTTAAAAAAAGCATGTTGTAGCTAGGTAAGTAGTAGGACTATTGCTAATGAAACTATATGGCCGCCTAGGCTAGGTAGGTAAACATATCTGGCTAAACGACATATAATGTATCTAGGCATAGTTAGGCTTAGGCCTATGCCCTACTACTACTACTACATTTTACAGTTCAGTTAATAAAATTTCTAGCAAGTGGGGACTCTTGAATCGGCCTGCAGCTGGACTTGTGATAGTTACCTATGATCAGGCTTAGTGTTATAAATATGCAATTTTCATTAGTCGTTATACATGTTAAAAATTATTATTGTTAATACCGGTAATAATAAATATAAATATATAATAAATATATGGCAACAATATAAATATATAACAACAAA